CCCGTCGTTCCCCTATCGTTCACCGAGTGCCGAATTTCATGCCTGTTGCGCGCTTTCACGGCGTTTTCGTTTCTCCTGCTCTAGACTAGACGATGAGTTCGTCCGCGCGACTCAAAACGCGTGAGTGTTAGGCAGAAAAGAGATGAGAGAATCAAGATTGCAACAGGCTGTAAAAAAGGAAAGCAAAAAAGGATATAATCGACGAGGTTAAAGTCCAATCGACGTGCAACCTACGACATTTGGTGCAACGTATTTATTATGTCTTATATAATAAGTCATATGTTTATGAAGTCAAGACGGTATCTCTAATGAAAATCATATTTAAATTAACGGGTGGGTGCTATAATTTTCATCAAACAAAACACGAGAACCGATGCCTCCAGCTTATTCTCTCTCCAGAGTGCTCCGAAAACGAGATTCGCTGTAACGATTAATTTTGGACAATCCATTAATTAATCCTTGTCAGTATTTTCATCGTCTTAAAGTGCTATTTAATATCGTCAGAATTATACCTTTGTGCTGTTTTCTCTCAAACATATATTTATATTAAAAGAAACAGTTGTATGTGTGTGAATTAACATTGTAAATTCATGATAAGGAACAATAGATTTGTTCTTTATTGCACTGGACTGCACTAGACTACATTAAAATTTTCCTTTTTGCTTTGGTCAATTATCAAACATGTGCTTGTTTCATTTCAAGTGTAGAATATATATTGTGTAGTTTAGCTATAAAAAAAGACTTACCTACTTATGGATGCTTTAGATAACAGATAACACAAGTCGACACACAAACATCTTTCTTTCTTGGCATTCAATGAACAATAAAGCAAGACAATCCTTGTCGTCAAGTGAAAAGCATTTAATATAATTTAATATAAATTTTTTGCTTTGATTTATATTGAGATTTATAGATATAGAATATTACAAAAGCTTGTATTTTAAAACTTTTTTTACGTAACAACAAACAACTTCCAGATTCGCAGTCAATCACATTTATTCTGAATCATGTCGCAATACGAAGATGTCTTTTTGGAAGATAAAGAAAAAGAAGAAAATCTACCAGTAGATTTAGCAGGAATGCGACGTCGTATCCCATGGAGTGAACGTGTATTGTTAAATAGTGAGATACCAGGTTTATATGAAGTTAAAGAATTATTAGAGGATGACGACGCAAGTTGTCTGGCAGAAGAGGAGGATGGGGTCGGATGTCCATTACCATCGACGCCGGAAGATGATCATCTTCTGGATTGTGAGGTATATATATTGTTTCCTTTTATCTTAAAATAATTTATACATAGAGAACAATTTGGCATATAAGTATTTAGCTAGATTGCTGAATGGAGGGTTACATTTCCTTCATAATTATTTTGATGGTCTAACAAAATTATTTTTAGAGTATATCTATAAAAAAGTACATGTAAGTTTTTGGATATTTTAGCAAAATTGTTCATTCTATTTAATTAACGAGTTAAACATCCATTACTTATGTTATAGATGACTGAAGTATTAAAGGCAGGAGTATTGAGTGATGAAATTGATCTAGGTGCACTAGCACATAATGCAGCGGAGCAGGCCGAGGAATTTGTTCGAAAGGTAAAAGGATATCCAGATATTTATATCATTGCATGTATAAAAATATCTTTCCACTTGAGATAATAGCAAATAACTGTAGCAAATTAATCTTCATTAGAATGAATCTACATTATAATTTGAGAAACACACTTTGTATTTCTCACATGTACGGCCCTATACGATTTAGTATTTAAATATTATAATTTGACATTGTTAATCTACAAATTACAAGTTTAAAGTAATTGGAGATGTTATTTGTAGGTATGGGAGGCATCGTGGAAACAGTGTCACTTTAGGAATCTACCTAGATGGTTGCAAGATAACGATTTCTTGCATGCTGGTCACAGGCCACCATTACCCTCATTTTATGCGTGCTTTAAAAGCATTTTTCGAATTCATACAGAAACTGGCAATATCTGGACACATTTACTAGGTACACTGCTTTTTATCTCATTAGTGTGGTATTAAGTAACACTTAAATGTATTAATATGCACTTTCTAAAAAAGTCTGTAAATACAGCATATTCTTTTAAGTATATTCTGTGAATTTTGGTTATTAATTTTGTTCATAAAAATATTTTATTCTTTACAGGCTGTGTTGCCTTTATTGGTATAGCTATATTTTTTCTAACACAACCTCCTATAGAAATTCAATTGGAGGAAAAATTGGTATTTGGTACCTTCTTTGCTGGTGCTATAATTTGCCTAGGAATGTCATTTGCCTTTCATACAGTTCATTGCCACAGCGAATGTGTGGGAAAGCTATTTTCAAAGTTAGATTATTGTGGAATAGCTATGCTTATTATGGGTAGTTTTGTACCATGGCTTTATTACGGATTTTATTGCGATTATCAACCTAAGCTAATTTATCTGTCTGTGGTGGTTGTCCTTGGTATAACCAGTATTGTAGTTTCATTGTGGGAGCGATTCGGCGAACCAAACTATCGTCCACTTAGAGCTGGAGTTTTTATGGGTTTTGGACTTAGCGGGGTAAGTTTTTTTTTTTTTAATTTATCGTTTAACTTCAAAAAATTTATGTTTTCTATATCTATAACCTATATTTTAATTTTGTATTTTAATTATTTATATCTAATAATAATTTATCTACAATATTTTAATTCCATTGTTATACATTTAGGTAATACCAGCTGTACATTATGCTGTCGCCGAAGGTTGGTTCAAGGCGATTAGCCAAGCATCCCTCGGATGGTTAATATTAATGGGATGTCTGTATATATTAGGCGCGTTATTTTATGCTTTAAGGGTACCTGAACGTTTTTTCCCAGGAAAATTCGATATTTGGGTAAGCATTATTAAAATTATTGATTTATAGTGACTTGAGTTCAAATTATTTTGACGATATCTTATATACGACGATATATTATATTTTAATATTTTAATTTTATAGTTTCAGAGTCATCAAATCTTCCATGTATTAGTAATTGCAGCTGCTTTTGTCCATTACCATGGCATTACAGAAATGGCAATGCATAGAATGACAATAGGCGACTGCACAAATCCATCGCAGGTGTTGGCTTTTTAAATTTACGGGCACATACTTTCATCTTGTTGATAACTTTCATATATCATTAACCCAATAAAAAAAAAGACTACAAAGTTTCCTAAATCTTACGCCAGCATATTTGTGCTGTTGGAAGATGTGGTAAACGTAAAGTAGAGGATAAATATATTTAATTTCAGATTTATGGTAGAATATATTTTAGAATTTGTTGCTTGTTTATTTAATTGAATTAATTTTATTAATTTTAAAGCCAATAGTTACTTTTTGAAAATATTTATGTAACTGCAAGTTGTTTGATATTGTTGAATTTATTTCAACTTCCTTTAAAATCAATGTGATTTGGATATATATATATTGAATATAAATATATATATAGATTGAGATATTTTTTTTGCAATTGAATAAATAAGACATATTCGTAAACTATGCGTATGTGAAATTTCTGAATCTTTTTGAATACGAAATATATGAGAGTTTATATATTATTTTAAAGAACTATCTAATTCGGATACTGTAAATGAAACAAAATTCTGACAGAAGTACACAATGTAAACTTAAATGGCCATATATTACTTATGTTCAGACTTTGGATCTTAAAAATTATATAAATATTTATATTATCTTTTTCTCCTTTTAATTCTCTCTTCATTTATTTACGTACATATAGTTATAGTGAAATAAATAATTTAATTATAATTAAATTAATTATTATAGAAAGATTAAAATTATTTAATCATTTTTGAATTATTAAAAATATCTAAAAGCTTTAGTTGTATTTAGGTGCTTTGATAAAAAAAAGATAAATATTTGTTTTCTCATATAAAATTTATATACTTGAATATAAAATATGTGAGACAATAGGCAACGAAAATTAAATGCATATGTGACTAAGATTTAGGAAGCAGCCGTTGCTATGTGAACAATTTTATAGGACACAAGTACTATAAAATCTATAATATGTATATTTTGAACAAAGTCATTGTTACAATAATATATGGAAATTTGTTTAATATATACTATCATTATATATATGTGTATATATACATATATATATATATATGAAATATGTGATGTACCAATCTAATTTTTTCAAAAGCATTTCTTATTTTCCAATTTGTATACTATATATTCAAAGTTCTTAATATATAGAATTCTGATAATATCTACATATATATCAGATGTATGAAAAAAATTTTGTATATAAAAAGACTCTGAAAGGAAAAAGATAGTGTTTAATCTTTGAATTAAACATGATTGACTTATATATATTGGGATCTAATCAATTATTTAAGTATCATCTGCTTCCTACATATATCCACTTGTTATGTATAAATAATTCCTATTCTATTCCCTAACGATTTTTGTTCCTTTTTGAACCATTAAATCCGTATAATGTTCATTTTTAGTTCTAAGAATTAGGAAAAGATAATCCGGCCACTAGATGGCCGCGCTTCTCGTAAGAAATCGCTCAGAAGTACTATGTATATATGTATAAGAAAGCGAATACAAATTAGGACTTTCATTAATTTTTAAATGTTGTAATTTTCTCATAGATTTGAAATACTTCAGAATTTATATATACAATATACACGTGAGTTCTCTCTCTCTCTTGCTATATTCATAACTTGCATAATCGCATAAACATATGCATAAAGAAAATTATCCAATCACATTTTACGTGCATTTCTATAAGGAAAATCCGATTAGATAATTTTCTTTATGCATACGTTTATGCAGCTATGCAAGTTTGTGTGGATATAGCTTTTCTCTCTAAAATATTCTAAGATTTTATTTCATAACTTCTAATGAAATCTTCTCTAAAGTTTAAAATATATTTTCATTCACATACACATATATAAAAAATTCTAAGAAAAATATTCCAATTCGTATAAAAATTACGAGAAAATTGTTCAGTTTCGGAATATCATTTCGGGAATACGAGACTTGAAGCAAAGCGAGAAGTTATAGCGAGACCCGCTCGGGCGTCCTCCTCTTCCGCGAAGGGGAACTCGTTCGCGCCTACCCTTTCGCATATCTCGTCAGGCCGGTCGTATCGGGGGGGAGCGGAGGGAATGATATATAAAAATCAAGCGATATCGGAACGAGGAGCACTCCAGCGCACTCTACGACGAACGAAGGAGAGAGAAAGAGCGCGGGAGTTGAATTTTTCTTCGCTTTCTCCCCTTTGCCGCGCACCGCACCACGTCGCGCGGTTCACGACACACGACTACACGCGAGTCGACGTGATTGGCGACCACCCTCACCGGAGGATAGCCGGCTATCGGTCGACTTAGCTGAGCTGACACATTCAGTTCACGGAAATCATCGGACACACGAGGGTATAATAAGGAGACCTATCCTGGTCCCATTCGAAGATCAACCGTCTCCCAACGCGGATCCCAGTCGAATACCAGGAGTGATCAGAAGCAGAGGTCGAGAGATAGTCGAGAGCTTGATTATCCGACTGTGTATCCAGGCATATCAGCAACGAAACGCTATGTGCGTACGTACGTTGATTGGTAACGAGACGAGCGAGCCGATTGCGCCGATCACCGATTCGAAGCAATGCAGCAAGATGTCCCGTGCCAAGGAGAAGTACATGAAGATCTACGAGGAGATGATGGAGAAGGAGGAGCTCCAGCGTCAACGAGAGCGAGCGGAGGACGCGCTCTTCTTATCCGATTTGGCCGATGATGTCCTGGTAGCCAGCACCAATCACTACAGTCTGATACTGAAAAAGCTGTCTTCGTATTACGAGGTCGTGCGCCGCTCCAAAGTGTTTAAGTAAGTATAAAATAATCCTCCCCCCGTAGTTATTTTCAGCATAAAATTGAAGGAACGAAGAAATGATTTTTCTTATTCTCGAAGACCGTTTTTCTCGCGTCAGATCTCTTTGACTATCGTCTCATCCGTTGCGCTTTGCTTTCTTCTATCACCAGGTTCTGCAATCGACGAATCTGGATGATGTGGAGTCAGCTTAGGTTTTACGTGAGCTCTTCAGGTCGGTGCGAGATCCTTGCGCGTGCAAGGATCTCGTGTATACGTAATTCGCGGGCGTAGCCTCACCAGGGCATTCACGCTTGCTAATTTCACAGACGAAAGTCTTGTGTATTTATACAATTCGCAAATGTTCATGAAGAACGATCATCATGGCTTTACTTGTCATTTTACATTCTTTAAATTCAGTTCTTTGCGCGTTTTTAAACAAGAAATAAATAATTTGTCATCTTTTAATTTGTTATTTCTGTAAATTCAATTCTCTCTTATTTTTAAATGATAAATAAATCATTTATCATTTTTTAATTCTTTAGATTTAGTTCTTCCTTTTTTAATGGCAGATAAGTATAACTTATCATTATTAAAAATTCCAAAAATTATTAAATTCTTTAAATTCAATTTTTTCATTTTAAGTGACAAATGTACATATAAATGATTTGTCTTTATTAAATTCTTTATTTAAATGACACAGAAAGACACGATGATGATACATGATATATTACGTACTACCAGCTGAGTACATCTGTTGCGCGTCACGAGACCTGTTTTCGGGAAGTTCCGATGCAGCACCATTACTTACTATATATAGGCCTGTATTCAGAACGCGTTTTTATCGATAAAAATGCTCTTTTATCTTTGAAATTCTACAGTAAGTGTAACGTAAACTATAGCATGTTAACGCGCTAATAACATTGCTGTAAGCCGTTCGCGGGTCATTATCTTTACATACGATTTACAAGGACTTGATATATGCAGTGTCTTATGCATGCGATATTCTTGCAAACTGAAGCAGAGTGAAATCACTTCATTTTAGCCGTCTTCGTGTTCTCGTTACTTGTTACTCGAGACGCATATGGTGATATCAATGAACGCGGACAATATGTGTAACGTAACACAAACACATACGAAAACAAAATAATATTCTTTATATACATTTTTCTAAACGTATATTCTTCGTAGACAGCGTTCGTTCCGGTAGTTTTTCGAGAAGTTGCTATATCGGGATTATTATATTGGGAGTAAGCTACCTCCATGATAGTTGTAGCTCCAAATTTATTGGATGGAGTCATATCGATGCATCAATATTGTATAAAATTTCAATGATAAAGATGTCTCGCTATCGAGGAGCAAAGGTTCGTCGCGATTCGGAGCAAAGTTGGAGCACGAAACGTGACTCCGATTGGTAATTTTTTTTACGACTATCTCTACGTAGAAGGTCAGATTTTAAAACTTCTAGCTAGATGGTCTTAAAAATCTTAATCTAGTATCACACAGAGAAACAAACACTTAAAGGGGTACGATCGATATTTCGAAATAAAATGAAAAATGATGGAAAGTTACCAATAATTCTTGATCACAGATTTTTGTTTTAGACTTAGATTATTGCGATTACTTTTAACATTTTGATTTATAATAATAAGTAAAATAAATGAACCTTAAAAATATATTGTTTAATGAAAATAGAATGTTATAAACACAACTTCATGTAACTTGTTTAAAATATAAATTGTAATATATTAATATATATTACATAGATCGTACCTCCTCGAGCGAATCGATCAACTACAGACGAGAACTTCAAGTAATAACGTAAGCAATAACAAATAAAAAATATTGATTTGCTTACTGCTTATTACGTTCTTCTATGTGCCACTATCTCAAGAAATGAGATAATCATGAATACATATACATTATATGTATTCTATATTCATTTTCAGAAGCTGAAGTAGAAAGGAAAATCCGATTCTTTTTTTCCTTTCTAAATTTTTTATTTTCTAAGACCGATGCAAAAAGTAGCTTCCAAAGATTGCGAGTTGTTTACATATTGCGCCGCTATTTCATGGAATGATTTTGTTAAAGTATCTAAAAATTTGGTTGAATATGTAAATAATATTTTTGAATCATCAAAATATTTATGTATATGAAACTCAAGTATGATAAGCTGCAAAATATTTTGAGTTCTAGCAATCAATTTGAACGTTCCACATAATCATTTTTTTTTATGGTTTAATAAAATTATTTTTAGACCTGTATCTAGTTAAGTTTTTTAATACTTTAGCGAAACCATTCTTCCTGTTTTCTAATAATACGGAGTTCGATAAGATTTAATTATTTGTGATATCGCAATCGAGATCCACCTCGAGATAAACTTCTCATTAATCAGAGATTAAATCGCCACGCGAGTAAAGTTTTTAATTTTATCGAAATAGATCATTTAAAAAAAAGTCACACATTGTCGCATATAATAACATATACATGCGTATCTTAGAGTGCTCTTAATCGGAGAAAATTTAATTTTTATCATTTGTAATTCATACAAACGCTATTCAATGGATAATGCAAGAGAGATTGATGACGTGCAATCTGTTTCAATGGAAAATCGTCCGTGTTTTCTCGGAAAATCTTACGTGCAATTGCACGTATCTCGCCTGTGTATTTTCCCATTTGCACGACTTATCTGTCTTAAGTCGATGCTAGTCATCTTTGGTCTATTTTTGAGTCGTTACACAGCAAAGATTAACGGCAAAGCACGCAAGAAACTGCTTATCAATCGCAATCAAAGCATCTAACAATTGACGTGTCCTTTATATCTAACGAAACGAGACGTTTGATTTAAATAAAAAAAAGATTAAATTAGCCTTGACTTGCTACTATTATTATATAATTATTATAATTTTTTATGCACATTTGCATAAAAATTAACCTAGAGATAAAGATATCTCTATTTATATTACTATAATTATTTTAATTTTTTATGCATATTTGCATAAAAAAAATTAAAATCTGGAATTACAGATACTTCTATTTTTATACTTATTTTCGCAAAAGATCTTCAAATAATATTGCAAACAGCATACTATTTTCGGAATTTCCTAATATCTCATAAGTGATTTTTCCCCAAGGTTATCCTCGCGTTTTCTAGATATTTTTAAAACAATTTGACAATGAGTTTTAACGTCGATGCAAACTTCAGGAAAAAATCGAAGAGTTTTACGATTCTCTTATTTTCTTTTTAATTTTAACAGAAAGATTGACGCGTCGATAATGCTCCATTAACGTCACAGGCGTATTTTTGCTGAATATCCATCCAACCAAACACTACTAATAGTAACATCAATATCATAATTTCACACTCAACAAATAAATGTAATATCGTATAATGACGTACGTATATTTAAGGATGGGAAGTAACGATGCGAAATTATAACATTAATGTGTTGATGTTTGATAATTGAGTTCCATAACTGAAAGGGATTGCGTGATCGAGTAAGTTCCTCTGTCGATCACCGCAATTATCCCGGGCGTTAACACCAGTTAACACTATAGGCATCCATAATTAGCCGATCATTCAGTATGTGATTATATGACTACGGCGTGTCTCGTGCCAGAGCGCGATGACTGCGTCTGTCACGTCAATCATACGTTCTCTACGGAAAACGTAGAGACGAGCGAATGGAATAATGCAGCCTTGAACAGGCTGCACGTGTGAACAATGCACGGAATGAGCTTTTTTCGTTCCCCCCCCCCCCCCCTCCCGAGACCTCATCGATCTTCTTTCTTTGTCGCGTGCCACATTCTCTTGGAATTTATTTATATTCCATAGGTATTTCTTTTTATATATATCCTGCATTTATAAAGGATAAAATTATATCTTTATAAATATAGTGCTTTTAATAACATATTCTTTTTTCTTTTGTAAAAATGGAGTTTGATTTAGACCGACGATATTCCAGATGATTTTCAGACGGGTTCTTCAGTGCAATTATATTTTATTATAAACATGCGTATAATATTTGATGCAACAACACAAGTATAGGATGTACTATGTAAGATTGTTCACATTCCATAATTTATAGTAGTAGATTCTTGCGCTGAAAGTTTTATTTATTCTTTATGACTACACAAATTTTTTTTTCTTAGAATTCTTTATATAATTTTTAACAATTTTTGAATAAACAAACGTCAAATTTTTTCAGAACTCATATAATCTTATAATTTTTTTAAAAATTTTTCAAATTTTTTAGTACAATGTTTACTATATTGTACAAATATTGGTACAATTTTCAGAAATACTATCAAGAAAGTCTACATATTTTATAATTCTCTAATTTAAAATATTCTAATCCAAGCAGAACAACAAGTTATTATGATATCAAAATTATCAAAATGAGATTTCAAAATGATTAATTTTTTAATCATTTCCGGTTTCTCTTGATATCATTTTGACGTTATCATGACTTATTGTTCTATTTTAGTAACATTTCTCGTTACATTTATTTCCGAAAAAAGTTGATAAAATCTGAAGAAGTTTAAGAAATATTTATAAATTTATGATATAAAAATTCTTAAAAATATTACAAAATATAAGAATTTTTTTATCACAAAGTTTTTTTATTTTAGAAACACGTATAATTTAGTGCTGTATATAGAATACAGTTATATGATTTCTACCGTGTAATGACCGTCCAAATGCAATTTAGTAGCAGATTAAATTTCTTCCCGACAGCATTTCATCATGTTAATCGTTACATCGTAAATTATCATTTTTTCCACTAATATACATAATGCGTGCACTTTTCGCACGCCAGGCGTCAGTAATTCTTGTTTACACAAGCATAATGGAAGATAATGGACTTCCTTTCGCACTCTCTGGAATTGCATGCGTGCACATTCTCGGGACCGGTAACACAACTCCAATAAAAAAGATATAATTACAGACTCCGAGTGTGTCGGGCGGTCACAGAAACTCGTTCGTGTTACAAAGGTATGGGGGAATATCTTGTCGCAGACGTTCTTTATTAAAAGGCCTGATCCGTTGATCGATTATTCTAACGTCTCGAGAATGCATTCTTGAAATCATTTAATCACCTCTAATAATTACTTTCGAAATTATTACGATGACGGTATTTTGTACGTCAATCGGCTAATCAAAAAGAGATTATTTTACAATATATTTATATTATACATCATACATTTTGAAGAGTATTATTGTTATGATATTAGATACTGTAGATATCGTGTGTGTATACGAATCACTCTATTAAAACAAAATCGTAAATTGCTCCCCTTTTCTACATGGTTTTAATTAACGACCTGATATTATCAGTATATTAGTAATGACTTATAATTTGATAACACACAATCGTATGTCTCAAGGATTTCTTTTTATAGAAATTTCATTCTAAGCGACGAGCAAACGAGAAAATTTCTATCGGGAGATATGCCCAACAGGCGTTCTACTTGCCACGTTGAACGTGTAGCTGGCTATTCGCCAAGTTGGACATCTTTTACATCTCCTAAGAATCTGCAAATGAAGCTTGACTAAACGACTTTGTTCGTTTTGCAATGTTCCATTATGCCGCGCAGCCGGTCTGTCCATTAATAAGAACGCGCCACTGCATGATGGATACCATCTTTCTTATTCTTTTTAAACTACAAACTATTTTTTCATTATATAATCTACCATTTATTTTACTTATTTGGTTATAATAAGTTATAAATGAATTGTCAATAATATTAACTCTTCGGTGCTGACGGTTGGGTTCGATGGATTTACAGTTATAAATTTCTTTGTTCAAAAGTCCAAGAATTCAAATTTAGTTTTATCTACAAATTTTAATTATTTTTATTACTTAATATTTGTTTCTTTTATAAGTTATGTCATTTTAGTTCCTTGAAATTAACTAATGCCTTCTAAATAACATAAATTAAATGAGATTTACAGATCCAATATCAATTGTTACAAATTTTGGCAATAGCTTAATAATTAATTAATAATTGTTATTAACAATAATTTATTAATTTATTAATTACATCTATATAACCCGACTTAAGTCTGAATGGAAAATATTTAACGATGAACATTTTACGTTTTCCTTTTTTTTTGCGTATTTTATGTGTCTTTAATTTTTTGCATTACATTAAAATTGATTTAACATACATATTTATATCTACATAGAATAGAATCGTGCACTTGGCAACCAAGACAAGTTAAGAGTTACATCTTGTTGAAATTAACGCGACAATGTTTAACAGCTATAAAACGAATTGAGCATCCGGATGCGTGCAATAGATTCGCACATATCATTTTGCGTTAATAAAGTCGGAGGGAACTGATTTTGCTGGATCGGTCGCGATCTAAACGGCGGAGTCGTGCGTGCCTTCTCGCACGTTTCCCAGTGCCACTTGATAATGCCTGGCTTGGCTCGGTACACCTACACGTAAATACACGCACACGCATAGGTGCGTCCGGCACGTCGAATTACGGTCGTGTATCCGGACCTATGACCCCTGGCTCTCCCTTTTGCCGATCCTCCGTGTCGCAGAACGGAAAGTTATTTTAAATTAAGGAGAGCTCCCATCTTCCTCTTCATCAACGAAGTAAAAAATAGGAAAAATCAGAAAGTGAAAAATAAAAGTTCAAAACAGAAGAAAACTAATAAATGAGAGGAAAAGTAAAGCGAAAAATAGCGAATGTACATTTGTTTAAATGAGAAAGGAAAACAAAGAATTTAACTATATATATATATATTATATAGTATATATAACGTATATTTTAATTATTATGCGCTTATGACTCATGAAAAAACGGTAAAATCTAAAAAATATCTACGTATAAAAGAATATACTTTTTATTTGTCTCTAACGAAATACCAAAAAATTTTGCGAAATATGCAAAAATCAACAAAAAATTAACAGACTTATTTATTTTAATGTTTAACGTCAATAAATAGTTAAATTTTGTAACCGAAAATCATTATTTTGACTTTTATGATGTCAAAATAAAATTATTTGGACTCTTTCTCTTGATTTGTGCTCTTTAAGTAGACGTGATGCAAAATGCTCGGTAGGCAAAAATTTTCGCCTCGCACGTATCCGTTCGTGTCGAAATTTCGATTTGGTAATCTCGAGAAGGCATCAGCTGTACGCGAATAAGCGCGAATTTCCGTTCTGGCTGGTGATAATTAATCGACACTTTAAGCCTCAAGGAAATCGACGATTAATGCGATCACGCGCGTCGTATTGTCACAGATATTTTTTATCGAGTCGATCGAGAACGTTGCACTTGCAGTCGCCGGGATAAGTTTCTCTCTCGGCAAGTGCACCCCTCGTAATTTATTCGCAAACATGAAATTAGTCCAAGGATGAAACGCGCTTGTATTTATTGGCGGCTCTTTTATCTGGTTAACGAAAGAGAAGTAATTTTCCTCATCGCAAACATTTCTCACATTTGCTTTGCGCAATGTTGACGCTATTGCGCAAATTATACGCCTGCGAAGATTATACAAATTTATTTTAGGTATATGTAACGACCTGTGGAATTATCGAGCATCCTACTTGCATCCAAAATTTCGCAAATGTTCGCTGTCAGTCGTTACAGAGAAAAAGACAATTATAAAATTAATTAGTTTTTGCAACTATAAAACAGTTTATTCAACTATGTACATTAATTGTACATATAAAATTTATATAGTTGTCACCATTACGTTTTTTTTTTTACAACTCTAAGTGTAGACTGCACTAATAAAAAATACAAGCCTCGCAATGTTAATAGCACAAATGTGCAATTATTTGTTGTACGATTAATAAACAAATAAAGATGATTAAGATCATCATAACTTTCATGCTGAAAAAACGTCATACTAAACTGCACATTTGATTGTACATGGATCAAATCACGCATTGATTTTTGCAACGAGACAAGCAGTTATTTTACAAAATAAAAGTTACATAGAAAATGGAATAGAATTATCTCGAATACTTTATTTGTTATAAATTGATTATCTTGAATATTTTATTTGTTATAAAACATAAATTTAAAATACAATACATATTTCGCTTTTTAAGAAATACACAAAATTTATCGGAAATGCACGTTTGTAACTTGTTGCAAAATGCAGGACGTCACCTCGAGGTGGTCGACCAGTGTCGTTCTTCATAAACTATACAAGACACTTCGGAGAATTTCGAAAAAGGGTCACGTACGCACGTGCACATATACGTATACATATATGTACGTAAAGGAATTATTTATTTTTTATCATTTTTAATATGCCACAGGCATATATACGCATGCGTTTCATCTCAGCAGGAAGCGTCTGATGAAATTTAATAACGAGTTTGCCAGCTTCTCAAATTACCTTTTTAACATTCGGATCATATAAATCGCGGAATATAAATGATGATAATTACATATTCTCCTCGTGTGATGCTTGCTCATGTAATCTTAAAATAGTTCTTTATATCTTTATTTTTTATATTTTATGTGCCGCATTAAACCGATGACAATCTTGATGAAATAAATTCTTATATTATTTCATAATATTTTGAGGATATTTTAAATTTATAAACATGTCTAAAAAAAATAATTAAACTTTTTCAAGTTAAATCTTAATAAATTCAGAATTCACATATATAAAAGTTCTAGAAAAGATACCAATTTTCTTAACACTTTCAAACATCTTCTTAAAGTTTGTAATTAGTATTAAAAAATCTGAGATATTTTCTAAAATATTATAAGTAATACAAAGATTCTGAATAGTTCTGAAATTTTTACATAAGAATTTTGAAAAATTGTATGAAAAATTTTTATCAGAAAATCAATATAGTAATTAAAGTAAAAGGTGTGTTGCAGATTTTACATATGAGATTCTTTAGTTTTAGAATGAGATGTAGACGAATCTATATACGTCAATCACAATTGCTTATATTGGCCATGAAGGAACATTCCCAGGCATCTTCAATCTCAATGAATTTATTTGACTTTGACGTCACGGTATATACTTAAATCAACGCAAATAAGTGATGCGCGTCATCAGATTATCTAACGCGGTTGCACGTGATGAAAATTGTACCGGTCGTTGATATCACGTCATGTCACGAGTCACGCGTATAAATCTATAGTTTTGTAAATTACCTAATTGTCAAGATACGGCAAAATTTCTTTACCCAGCGGTATCGCGCGTATCTTGTAAAAATTGTCTTAGTTTATCAGCAATAATAATAAACGAGAAGAGATCTGACGTCAGTTAAGTCTAAATTGTGTATATAATGATAGAGATTTTTACAGTTTTTATATATTTTATTTTTTCAATTTCTCAATTTATTTTGAATTACAATTTATTAGCTGAAGAACATTTAAGTAAAAAGGTTCTTGATTATTTGTTGCAAAATTACTTTTAACATCTATTTCTTTCTTTGATTTTATAATGTTCAATAAACTTTTTTAAGGTTTTATTTCTTGACCCAATTATTAGTTTTTTTTTTAATTTTTATCATTTTTATTCAAATTGTCTTTAACTATGATTTACCCATAAAACTATTGATTTACCTATAAAAAAAATTATTTCAAAATCAAAAGATTAAGATTTATTAAATCTGTAATTGTCATTTTGCAGGATCCTTTTTTACACGACACAGCCCGCACATATAATTATGATCGCCGCAGTTTTATTTGTTATAACGGTTCTCTTTCCAATCAAGGGTCAAAGCTCTAATCATTCTTACTCAAGAATGATGTCTTTTATTTATCTCACATCCTTCGTTGTACATTTTGGTGCTCAAATTTGGATGACTTTTGTATCAGGTATGTATATAATTAAAAAATATATTAAATATATTTTTAATGGAACCTTATATAAAAGGAAGTCTCTTGATCTATTCTTCTAATTGATTTAAATTGACTTTCTCTGAAATAATAGATGTACCATTTACTCGCAGGCCTGTCTTTATACTTTGCACTGCCACGACATGCATTCGGCGAAGTGCAGCGCGTTCTATTTCCAAGATACTTCACGATTAACGCGTGTTTAAGTCTTATCACGCTCCTCATATTTGTCAAGCATCATCCGACGCATACATGGGATTCCGAAATTGCTGTTCAGGTACGTAAATAATGGCTTAAAACACATTTACGATATTTAAAAAATAAGATACTTTAATTAGATGTAATTTAATTCTCTCTAAAACACGTAAATAATTTATCTTAAATAAAAATTAATTTAGTGTGTGTGTGTGTGTTTTCAGAGAAGTAAAAGTTGTGAAATTTTTTATATGTGCAGGTTGGGGCAATGTCCGGAGGCTTTTTCCTAGAATTACTGATACGCCTCTACCTAACACCTCCACTTCTTCAATTGATCGTACAGAAGAACAACTTTGAACGCGCAGCGGGCGTTGGCAATGAGATAGGTCGTCACAATCCTGGACCGCTTAAAAATTGTACTCATTACATGAAGATCCATCGAGCGTTTCGCCGAGTACATGTATGCATAGCTATGGGAAACATGCTCACTATGGCGTGCACGGTACTTCATCTCTATTATATAGCGAGCAAATTATGCGCCTTGTAAAAACAATTAGATTCCAATCATAAAATTTAGATATGCATTTTTTTCGTGAGCTCAAAGAAGTTCCCTAAAAAAATATAGAATCTAGAAAATAATTTTGAAAAAAGCGTTAATAGTAAGTACGTTAGTACGTGTCTCATATGATAACGAAAGTTTAAATGCATCGGAATATTCAAACCTGATGCAAGATGTGATTTTTCCTGCCATTAAAATTAATTGCAAGACTGTATAACGAGTCTTTCAGTGCAGCTGCCTTGAATTTTAATTCTCGAAGATATCGAGGTATATTGGTGTATCTTGTACTAATAATCTGAACTTACTCTATGTTAAAATAGAGTAAGTATTCAGAAGATTACAATAGATTTTATTTGCATGATATAAGTCACGCTGATTCTCAGAACGCTAGCCAATTCAGAAGAGAAACAAGCTGAAGCGAAGGTAAATGATCAGTTTTAATATTTCTCACAAATATGATCTGCTTACAGTTCGTAGTGCTGTATAAATTATTGCTGAAAGTAGTGCGAAGCGCGTGCATGTAATTTGTGAGTGTGTGTGTTTAGAGATTGAGTGGACATAATTTATTCATCGGCACGAAGCGGTTGAAGCTTTTTTGTAAATAATATATATCTCATACAAAAATATATCGATTCATTTGTATCTGTATAATTTAAAATAGATATTTTTTATACATGTAATTTATATAAGCTTTAAGGCATAAATTCTTGCCAAAGCATATTTCTTTTATTATATCAGCGTGAGAATAATTAAATTCTTGCGCTAAAAGATGTATTAATAATTTTGCGATAGAAAGTCGTGACTCGTTTAATAACTCTTAGAAATTTTTTTAAATATCGAATTATATTTCACAATTTTAAAATTATTATTACATTGGATGCAATAAAAATATATTTACTCTGTATCAGAGTCAATAATATTTATTGAAATTGCACACTAAAATAAAATCGTATAGATATAAATGTAGCAGTAATATAGCAATTGAAGGAATAACTTTATATTGAGTGAATTATAGGCTCTTACATACACGAAGCTCATTATTTGTAAATAACTGCATTCTATTCATTTAACATTTGTAAATTATATGATATCTCATATAACAATATACGAGTATGTAATCATTTTTATAATTTTTAGTGTATTAATTATTGGTATACCTTCCTATAAATATCAATTCTAATCTTAAGTAATATATTTTAAATTTTCAATGAATATATGATGTAGATTAATTTGCGAGTTTAATATTCCTATCAATGACAATATAATCGTCGAGTACACAGTACATTCGTACGATGTCATTGTTTGTATAACTTCACATATAAAAAATTTACATCTATATAAAAATCTGTACATTACATACTAATAATTGCAATCATACGCGATCACATTCCATAGATTAGTTAATGCTACAATCTAATGACCCAATCTGATTACTGTAATAATTGCAAAATGGTTTTTTCTTGCCTATAACTATGTATGTATGTATATTCTTTACCTAACTATATATAACTTAAGAGAGATATTTAAAATGACTGATGTCTAATTAATTATACATGATAATTTAAGTATCCATAAATGAGAATACCTAATACTGAGCAATTTCTAACAAAAGACACCGTGAATCTTTTCATTTTTGTTTAACATTGGCAAATAACAAGGCTGGAAAGATGTATCTTTTGTTGGAAGAAAAATGTTCACTATTAAGTTTACAATATTTCTATAAACATATGTACACATAAATGAAATGTTTTATAATTATTGTTTCTATAACAAGTTACATATATCTATTACATTAATAATAAAAAAGTTCTAATATAGCAACAATCTTGAATATCTCAAGATGAAATAAATGCGTTTCAATAAAAAAGACAATTATACTCGGAGAATCTCTGCCGCTTTGTTGTAACAAATGGCTATCCAATCGGGCTGTGTGGCACCCCACTGAATCTGATTGACCTCGCCTTCTGCGGCGGTATAAGCGAGTATAGGATCCTCTATCGCTCTTGGCATTTGCTGTATATCCCAGATTAAAGCCTGATGATCATCACCGGCTGTGCAAATGTGACAGGACGAATGTGGGGCCCAAGCTATCCCATTAACGCTGGCCCTGTTAATTAATTAAAATTAAAATTAAATTAAAAGGGAAGAAATTAATTAAAGAAATTCTTTAATCTTCCAGAGCTGACATGAGTCTACACCTATTTAATTATAATCCTCCGGAACTGACTGTAAATCTATTGAATTCACTACATAGTGACTGATTCGATAATGTAGATTTTTATGAATAAAAATAAGTCAGCTTTTTCTATGAAGTGTGATATTAAATTAAAAAATACATTATTATACTTAAAAATTTACTATTATATCTCTCAATTCTTGTATTTATTATTGTAGCAATTACTATTTTACACAAAAATGTCAAATACTTAATTCACAATTTTTTTGCTACATTTGCAAATTTGGATTATTCTTATCAAAATACACTGTTCTTTTTTATACGAGTTATGTTACTTTAGTTCTTTGAAATTAATTAACGTCTTTTTATCAACATATATTACATGGGCTTCACAAATTCAGTAACTGTATTAGATTATTAGTTTTTATGTTATCTTTGAAGGATTAAAGAAACTCAGTATACCAAACATTTCTAGTATTGTAATATTAACTTGTATATTATAATGTATATATAAATAATAATATTAAATCAATTTATATATTAACCTGTGATTATTCAATCTTGCAACTGGCGTGCACGGCACTCGAACATCTAGAATGATAACTTCACAAGCGTCCATCGCTACAGTAGCGAGATAATTGGGATCCTGTTTGTTCCACGCTAATCGTAAAAGCGGAGTGTGCTGCGGATCTTCATAGATAATCGTCGAATGCTCCAAGTGTCGTAGATCAAACATCCTCACAGATCCATCAGCGCCAACAGAGGCAAACATGTCGCGACCACCTCCGGCACGGCTGAACGCGATATCATATACTTCCTTGTCGTGTGCAATCAGTTGCGTTTTCACGTGACCGCTGACCATATTTACTCGGCCCAAAACCTGCCCTGTCTCTAGTCCCCATATTGTGCAAGTGGTATCAATGCTAGAAGTTCCGATTAGATTAGGATCCACCTCGTTCCAGTCGAAAGATGTAAGCGGTGCACAGAAATCTGAGTTCTTATTGTTATTCAGGACACACTCTAAACGAGTCTCAGGTTCTGCAGCACGCCATACTCTCAGATAATCACCAGATGTTGCAAGAAGATCAGGAAGCTGACCTGATAAGAATTTTATTTATTAAGTAAGTCAGTAAAGCTACTTTATAATTAAACTATTTTATAATTAAATCACTTTGAAATTTTATAGTGTTAATCTGACCATCTGACTGTTCATTTACAAGATTTCTTAGAAACAGCTTAACTCTTTTGAATGCGTTTTCAACAATAGATATCTAAGGATCTTAGATCTATAGGTAAAATATAATTCAAACCAGTTGTTTACAAGGAAATTAAAAATAAATTTTAATGAAATTTTTCTAATATATATTATAGATTTTTCACAACATAGTTATAACTTTAGTTACATTTGTTGTAAAGAATTTATTTGATTATTGACATAAAGTCACAAGATAGTTAAATATGTATAAATAAGGAAGTACCTTTGCTGTCTGGGATCCACATAATTTTTGTAGTAGGATAAGGATGGTCAAATGTACTTTTAGCACTGAATTCAGATGTTTCTTCATCCAGTGAAACAATTTGTACTTTGTTATTATATTCTTCTACAAAGCTTCCCAATGCTAGACGAAATCTTTTGTCTGGCCTCACCGACCAGTTCATGCTGTACAATGGCCATGGTGCTTCGTATTTGTAAATTTCTTTTCGTTTTGGTGGTATAGTATGCATAGCCATGATGCCCTGATATTTCTGCTTTTGTCGCAACAAATATCATTTGACATTAATAATTACAGAAATATTTCGATAAAAGAATATTAAATTCTTTTTCATGGAAAGTAAAATGTAAAATATCTATGTGATACAAATTCAATTCGCTTATTCTTAAGAGAAAAAAAAACAACAGCAAAGACAAAATAAAAAAATTAAGCAATATAAGGATGAAAAGATATAATAATTTATATAAAATTTATTAATGTAAATTAAAATATTAATACAATCAATGAGAAAATTTATCGACTAACCTGATAATTGTATATTACAGGAGAATAACCACCACGAATAATCTGACTGCCAGAAAATTATATCTCTATGACCATCATAGCGTTAGGAAAAATAAATCATCTAAATATAAAGAATCCACTGTACACCGCGTATACAATCAAACCACGGAAGACGAAACAAAAAAAGTTGTTTGGGAAGCTCCGATAACGCCGTAATTAATATTCCGAATATAAAATGACGGCCTTTCAAATATCACAGCCGAAAGCGACTTTGAAATCTTTTGAATTCTTTCTCGAATTAATTGCAGTTTTGTTTATTTATGAAAAATGCAGCGAACTGCATAAACATAACGTTTTAGAATGTTTCATAAACACTACGACACTTGTCCGCTGGATAGGATGGCGGAAATATTTGTTTCACTTCCACTTATTGCACCGTGTGCACCAGTTCAGGTAGTGCAGAGATAAAGAACAAATTTGATAGATGCCTAGTGATTCCTAGTTCTATATAGGGTGCTTTCCGTTTCTCGCATATGGTGCATAATGCATGATTTATCCTTGTTGCTCATCAATGCTGCGTTCGGAAATATCACTCGAGTATCCCCGTGTATCGTCTTATCCTTGTTATTCATTCAATCAAACAAGGATAAGACGATACACGGGGGTACTCGAGTGATATTTCCGAACGCAGCACAAATATTAAACAAGAACATTGGATGCATCATGCGCGACGGAACGCACCTACAGTAAGTACGCATTGAAAATTGAGATTCAAGATTGAAAGATTAAAATTTGGCCAATTAAAATAATAGGAGCTAAAATTCCTTTATCCTCATTGGTCAAATTTCAATTTACAATCTTCAATTTCAATCTTCATGCTGTCTGATTCCGGCCTTAAGGCCCTCTTTCACCAACGCCGATTAACTTAATCGACGATTAGTCCATTGGAATTGACCAATAGTATTTATCATTTAGTTTTGACAACAGATGCGATTGGTCAATTCCAATGGACTAATCGTCGATTAAGTTAATCGGCGTTGGTGAAAGAGGCCTTAAATCTGTTCCGCCTGTTCTACAATATAGGGCGAGTTTTTTAATTCATCGATTGATTAATTGCATGATGCGTAGATGCAACATGTTGCACTTGCGCATCATGCGATTGATCAATCGATGAATTAAAAAACTCGCCCATATCTGTTTTTTGTTGAAGTAAAGAAATATCCATTTGTTTCATTTCAACTTATTGCACCATGTGCACTAGTTCCGACAGTGCAAGAACAAAAAACAGACCTATAGTCGCAAACTGTAAGAAACTGACCTATCATAGTCGATTATTTTTGTCGTATTCAACTGTGACTATTTTTTTACGACTTTATTCGAAAAGACAATAGGTCTGTTCGCGTTGCTTGCACTTTTTGCACTTACCATCTTCGCTTTCTTTCTTTTTAAAGCCGAATATACATCTATCTCACTTTAAGTGCAAAATTATTTGGGGATTTCATGCAACGCGAACAGACCTAATGAAAAGCGATCTGTTGCGGGATTCTCTAAACGTTTTTTCGATAATTGTTGTTATCGTTAACTAGCGACAGCCAATGAGAGCCGCGCTTTCTTTTAGGATTGTCCTGCCATTGACTGTTGCTAGTTAACGATAGCGACAATCATCGATAAAACGTCTAGAGAATCCCGCAACTGATTGGCTATCAGAGCCATTCGGTTTTAGAACGAATTTGCAAGCGCAAATTACACCACTATTGGCTGATTCACCTGCATATCTTGAGGGTTGAAAAGAGATCGTTATCGTTCGCGGGGATCCGCACTGATCCGCATATCCACAGTGATCTGTGATATGGTTGTGATGATGGAGTTTGCGTTCGGCATGGTAGATATCTGCTGACGGAAAGATATATCAAAATACATGCTTTGCAGCGACGTGCAATCTGTTATATTGTGTAACTCGTGATATCATTCTGATATAAATAATCAAGGTGAGATGACATGAGATCAGATCGCTGAATTATGAAATTATGTTTTACATACTTTTTTTTAATGATTCTAAAAAATGATGGGACTGTGATTTTATGTATATTAGATGTACATTATACATACATATATATATATATATACGGCAAAAATTTTTTAGGCTATCTAGAAAACAGATGAGAAAATACTGTAGCATTAATCGGTAAAGATGCCAGTCGGAGTATTTCCAGCCCTCAAATTGGGTGTACTGTTTGTCAAACAGATCAGTAAACCTTTAGCTAAATTTCTTGTCAATCAAGCAAAAAGTCGTCCTATTTTCAGAACTTATTTCATCATACCACCCGCTCAATGTAAGTATACTTTCATTTTTCGCATGTGATGCACAAGTTTACTGTTATAAGACGTAACCATAATTGTTTTGCATATTTACAGTTTATCATTGGGCAGAAGTAAAAGCAAAAATGTATGTCATGAATCTTGGTAAGCCTACAAAGGTTGCCAAGTTAAATGAAGCAATGGCAATCGAATTAGGCGCCAGTCTAATAGGTGAATTGATTATCTTCAGTGTAGCTGGAGCATGTGTGATATTGGAGTACAACAGGCAAGTCACAAAAGAGACGAAGAAAGAGGAGCTCCGTCAAATGCAAATACAAAAGTTTACGGATGATATTCAAGCGTTACATAACATTTCATTACAACAAGAAACACAAATTCACTATTTACAAAATGCAATCCATGAATTAGCAAAACATACGAAGCACAAGCTACCTGAACTGATTTCACGGCCAACAAATAATAGCAGTAATAATTTAGAAGACGATATGAGAAAGAATTATAATAAAAATAGCAACAATTCAATGGAAGCAAATCCAGGAAGTGAGAACACATCGTTAATACAGCGTGCTATAGTGTATTATAATAAAGAATTGAAAGAAGATAAGCTTAGATAAGTGATATTTTATACTTCTTTTCAAGATGTACGAAATACAATACGTACATATTTGAAAATATAGATGTTTCCCATTGGCATTGGATTTTATGCATTCGTAACATTGAGCTGTACATAACAAAGTCATGTGTTGCAATCTTTTTGGATTGTAATAACAAGTGCTAAACCTAAATAAGGATTTAGATACTTTTCTTCTGTAAAAATACATCTTTCTGCCTATGTATACATAAATAATTTTTAAATGTAGATATGTGTGATAATAAAATTTACACAGAAAAATTACAATCTTCTTCTTCTTCTTCATATATTATTTTTCTTTATTATTCTTTTTTATATATAATACGTATATATTATAAATTCAATAAAATTTTTTGTTATTGCATAAATAAGTGATAAACATTAAAATAAAATTAGTTTTTTTTTTTTTTAGAAAAAAACAGTAATTACAGTTTTAAATAAAATTTATAGTCTACAATAATTTTATTACATTTTTGTCGGTAATAAAGAGGTTGATAATTACCAACAGTCAATAACGTACCAATTGTATACATACATAAACGAAATATAAAAAAATTCCAAAATATTTTAAATTTAAAAAATAAAAATATATAATCAAAAGATATAAGCGTTATTTTCTATTCGATTATATTATATTCTTTCTCCAATACTATATATATTTATTTACATTATGCAGGTTGTTGCCGGTTATAGACACTAAGGCCCTGTGCACAATGGAGGAAATATTAGAGAAATATATATATACTATATAGTAATTATAAATATTAAGATTTTAACCTATCAGATACCAATTACATCGGAATATACGGTTTCTGTTGTGTGATAAGTCGAAATCTTAATATTTATTCCTATTCCTAATATTTATTCTATTGTGCGCAGGCCTAAGTTATAGATTTGTATTGTATGCTATTGCATAAATATATATATATACGTGTATATATATATGTGTATTCATATATATATAAATATATATATATATATGAATACACATATATATATATGTGTGTGTATATAAGAAAAAGAAAGTTAAAGAGAGCCACGTAAGATGTATATGGAGTACAGAGCGCGACTAATACAAATTTAATACTTTCGTTCGATATTTCAAATCGATTTGTCAGTATATTTCTGCTAAGGTAGTATGACATACACCGTGTTGTGTCAAATCCCGAGTATACCTCAATCTTACAAACCTTAAAATTGTTAAGGATGTTTATAAAAAGGAAGAAATTAGATGTTGCAGAAAGTGAATTGTCTGAAAATACAAAAAAGTTTCACAAGAAACAATGGCTCGAAATGGGAAACAATTATCTATTCGCTCTGTGGGGGTTAACTATGCATTTAATTCTATTATGGGGTGTATTAGATGTTAACTTTCATTCACCTATTATTAGAGGAATGCCAATTGTACCGGCGCCTAAGGGAGCACCAGCTAAAAGACTGCTATTATTTGTAGCGGATGGTCTGAGATTTCAGACATTTATAGAAAAGCCACCACCTTATCTCAGGTATTTTACAGAACTTGTTTACTCTTGTTTATTATTTAAAAGCAATGCCAAAGTTCCATTATTTCATATAATTTAATTTAATTTTAATTTTATTAATGTTTTTGTTTGGAAAAGTAAAAATTTAATTTATTTTAATAAATATTATATATTATATATTAATATACAATTTTTTATTGTTTATATTTATTGTATGCAATTATATCATATATTATAATATTAAGAATATTGATTTATTGTAGTTTTGCTTCAATATTTTATTTTATTAGATAAAATAAATAATTATTTTTTTAGGGATGCAATGAAGAATAGGGGTGTTTGGGGAATATCTCACACAAGAGTACCTACTGAATCAAGACCAGGACATGTTGCAATTGCTGCAGGACTGTATGAAGATCCTAGTGCCATTTTCAAAGGATGGCAGGATAATCCAGTTGATTTTGATTCTGTTTTCAATCAAAGTCATGCAACTTGGGCTTGGGGCAGTCCAGATATAATACCAATATTTACAAAAGGTATTCTAAAAAAAAATGCAACAGCATTGTTATTCATTATTTCTCATGCTTATTTTGAAATTTTGAAAAGTTAGATAGCAAACACAATGTTTATGGACAGAGTTATCCATCTACGTGGCAGGATTTTGATACAAAATTAAGTAATCAAACAAGACGTTTGGACTCCTGGGTGTTTGATGCTTATTTGAAATGGCTACAGTCTTCAGTGGCCGAGACAGTCAGAAATCAAAACGGAATCATTCTGTTCTTTCATCTGCTCGGATGTGACACTCTGGGACATGCTAATAAACCAAATTCCAGGTATCCGAGTTATTTTAGATTAATGTTATTGATTACTATTGTTTTCAAAATACAGACTTATTAAAAAGAAAATTTTGAGATTAGAGAGTATGTGGACAACATGAACTACGTCGATCAGAGGATTGAAGAGACTGTAAATGCAACAGAAGACTTTTTTGGAAAGGACACCACCGCTTATATATTCACATCAGATCACGGAATGACTGATTGGGGATCTCATGGAAGTGGTTTGCCATCTGAAACTGAAACGCCATTAGTCACTTGGGGAGCAGGAGTAAAATCATCTGGTTTTCGTCAAGACGTTGAACAAGCGAGTATAACTCCCTTGATAGCGTCCCTAATAGGAATTCCTATTCCTATAAATAATGAAGTAAGTATTTATGTAACATAACATTAAGATCAGACTTATATACTTTATACATGTCCATATACTATATAAAGTATTTATCCATAAAATACTTTTTAGGGTGCACTACCATGGCAGTATTTCAATTTGGATAATCGTGAATATGTTGCATATTCTTTAATCAGCAATGTGAAACAACTAATGCATCAAATAACAGAAAATCGAGTGATAAGTTGTCAAGATAGTGATTATACTGATTGGCGAGAGACACAGATAAATGATAAAATTCGTAAAGCTCAACAACATATCAGTAAAAGAAATATAATGGCAGGAATTCGAGAAGGCAATGATGCAATTCGTTTTAGCAAGGAAGCCTTGTTGTATTTCAGATTATATCAACGTATACGATTTTTAATATATTTATCGATAATGTGGCTTAGCTGGATAGTTATATTATTCTTTAAAATAGCTGGAGCAAAGCGTCAATATTCGCGAATATTTCTTCTGCGATTAGTAAACATTGGATTTCCATGTTTATTAATAATAATGTTAACTGTACATATAAGTGAGTAATTATTTCCAAACAAAATGTATTAAGTAAATCAGTAATTTTATTTGAAGAATGAACATTTTATTTATACATTAATTTTTATTTACAGTGTCCAATTGCAACAACTGGAGATTACCATGCTATGCAACCTTTGCTATAATATCCGCATGGCTTGCCGTTACTACTTATATTACATCGACGCCTGTATTTACAGATACGAGCACACAAACGCTAGTCATAGATATTGGAGGCACTCTGTTACTACTAGTGATAATATTTGCTGGATTAACATATAGATTTGCTTTCAGTATAGGAATACTTTTACTTTTATTAATTCGAGTAATAAAGTCAGAAGATATACCAACTTCTATGATTTGGACTTCGATTGCACTATGTGTATTTCCATTACTACCTGTCGTAGAACCATATTCAAACATTTATATTGTGTAAGTTTATCTTGTAAATGTAATCAAGTAATATCGCAACTACATCAATGAAAAAAATTATCTTTTTTCTGTCTTCTAATTAATGATATTGGAAAAGAATACATAAGAATTTTTTATAAAAATCTTTTGACTGATTTAATATCTTTATCGATTTCAGGATGATTGGTGTATGTATAGCAATAGCGATACTATTTATTAATGAGATGTCACAAAGTCGGAGAATAATGGAAATTGTACGTCTAGTCATCACAAGTTTTATATATATGGAGTTCATTGATGGCCGATATTGGATATCATGGATTATCCTGCTGACTACACCATTAAGTATTTGGTGTCATCCAATAGAGGTCAAAAAAAGAACGCTGGGCATAATGCTCGGATTTTTCTGTTCTTTTACGTTGTTGTCGGCTTCTTACGAGCCGATTTTCTTCATGACTCTTACAATTAATTTAATTTCCTGGTTAGAAGCTACTACAACTACCTCAAAGATCTCAGGAGAACAAAACATCACAGAAGACTTGATCAAAGCGGCGTTTTTCGTATCCTTTTATCATCTTTCAGAAAAATGTTTTAAACACATAGAATTTTTTAATAAAATAATTATATTTATACCTGTATTAATTGGAGTGTTAAGGAATTAATTTTGTAGCATTCCTCTCTTGATTTATACATATAATAGACACAACTTATATATATCCTTAATATTTTAATATAGATGTTATATGTATTATTGTGCTTCTTCGGCATGGGTAATATGGCAAGCATCAGTTCATTCGATCCGTCTTGGACGCGTCACTTTATCACCGTCTTCTCCCCATATCTAATGACGTCCTTGATACTTCTTAAACTTAGCATTCCTTTGATATTAGTGGGATGCGTGAGCTACATCTTAGAATTGAGAGAATGTAAAAAGCCAAACTCTTTAGCTGTTCTCTTTTTAGGCGATTGTTTGTCATTGCCTTTGATGTATTGTGTCACACCATATGGCAGTTGGCTCGACATCGGTACTGCTATCAGTAAATTTATTATTGCTATCTCTCTTCCTTGTCTTTTTGTATGCTTACGAGGTCTTTCGCATCCACTTATAAAACCGGATTTTGAACGATTTTGGATCGGCCCATTATCTCAAAAGAAACATATCGTATAGAATTTTTTATATGATTAGGAAAATTAAACTAATAACTGTGCTTTAAAAGTATATGTCTATATATATGTTTCTTACTGTCATTTACATTTAAATAGCTGACAAATTTGATTTAAAAAATTGAACAAATACATCTCTGTGCCTGTATGTGTGTGTATGTATGTGTATATATTCGACTGTCGGCCTACTGTGTTTGTTACTGCCATTACATTGAAATATCTGATAAATTCGATTTACAAAAATCAAACAAACCTATCTGTGTGTATATTTGTATTCGACTGAAATCTACATTCTCTTATATAATTTATTTGTATTACATAAAAATAGATAATTATATTTATTGGAAAATATATATGTAATTATTCAAGTATCGTTATCATTGATTTATTCACCAACATGCACAGTTAATACGACTTTTCACTTGTATGTCATGTAAATATGAGATATAAGAAAGTTATTTTTTTAAATGTAATTTTATCAACACATACATTAAAGTGATATATTGACTAATCATTTTTAATGCAATCTCAAACAATTTAATTTCTATAATATAGTACATATAATTAGAGAAATAATACATTTAAAATTTGAATTCTTTATACTTCTTGGATGTCTTTGTATCTTGGATTTGCTGGCGTTTGCGTTTGCTCTGCAACAGAAAACAATCAATATAACTCAAAATTAACATAATGGAAAACAATTTTATTTCATTTAAAAATCAAATCTATATATTTACACATGCATATAGATAAAGATTTGTTGTATAAGTACCTTCTGTCGTTGTACATGATCTTGCAGCATGTCTGACAAGTCTTCTCTCCTGAGATGTGCTTGTCTTGACCTCATTGTTTCCTCATACCTGGATGCCATTGCCTCGGAGTCAAGATCCAATTCGCTAGGATCCAATGTCAATTCCACTGCGCCGTCTTTCTCCGCTCGAGCATCGCTTGCGCTGCCGCTGATGGCACTGCGACGTGCAGCGATCACGGACGGCGGTGCCTGGCCACCTGCCGCACCTGTCATATCGTATACGTGGGTACTGCCCATCATACTAGCGCCTAGACCCTCCGTGCGTCGTTCTTGTAGCACTGTATAGAGCGCGGGTGTGTCACCGCCTTCCATCTCGCTTTCAATCTTCTTTTTCCTCAGCTCAATTGTCTCTGGAGTCTCTAAACCTGCTGGGATCGACGTGATGCCGCTCGGTGTGATCAGGCCCTCAGCACCGGGAGTAACCAATCCGCTAGCATCTCCATCTCCATCCTTTCCTTCACCGTCGCCACCTTCGCCACCCTCCTCAGCATCCTCATCCTCGTCCTCGTCACCTGATGATTCTGACTCAGGTTCACCCCACATTCCCCGGTCTACTTCCTCATCCATCGCATCCGCACCAGATGTGCGCGATATACCAAACACGTCTCCGTAGAGTGGCCTTCCTGTTTCGTCTACTGGCGGTTTTCCCCATCCACCCGCGTGATAGCCGAACGCGCAACCCTCTGGAATAGGTGCGTTCAAACCGGGTATTTTGAGATTTGGATAACTCGGCGGTGGCCCATAACGTTGCATAGCTATGAGCCATGGCGGTGGTACTTTCTGACAATTTGGTCCCACTGGCATACCTAAAGCTGTACGCAGCTCATCTGATAACTCTCCAGGTTTCTTCTCCTTCAAGCGCGTCTCAAATTCTTTACCCTCGTAATAGAGATCGCCGTGGATCGTCATACGTGGCTTAGTCTGCCACTTGAAGAATGCGTCATGTAATTTCTGATAATCAATGTCAATCTTTCCTAGTTTGGGTCGCGCTCGCTCTCGCATCTTTGCCTTTAGCGTACGTGTGTCATCGCGCTCTTGCAAGCTTGCCCTCATCTCCGTGATCCCGGTGCGTTTTATAAAGTCTGGTAAATCAAACGGCGGTTTCTCTATTCCTCGTTTGCCTTGAAGATACTTACGCTTGAAGCACCAATGCCTCGGCACCGGAACTGTGTTTCGGTGTGCTTTCAACTGCACGAGTAACTTTGGATCTCGCGCAGTAACATCGTGCATCTCTACGACATCAGGACGACCTACCAGTTGCTTCAATTCCGCCACGCTCAGTCGTGTCAATCTTTTGAGCTTGCGCTTAGACAAACGCGGCGCACCGTTCTCTCCTGTGCCCTGTTGCTGCTGTTGCTGATTCCCCTCATCATCAAAGTCGTCCAACAATGGTACCTTACTTGGTATGCCAGTGCCAGAGGATTGTATATTTGTTACTGGTGGATACTGTCCGATAGGTTCGCCCTTATCAGCTGCATCATTCGGACTCGGTTCTGGCTCCACCAGTTTAAATGCTTCAAAGACTCTGGCAAATTGACGATACATAGGCTCTAAGTCGCTTATACTTGGTATCTCCTGTATATACTCTATCTCGGGCATATTATCTTTATTCTTGCCTTCTTCCATGCTATCCTTCTTCTGTTCAGAGTCCTTCTTTTCTGCATTGTGCCTTTTCCTCTTTGACTTTTTCTTCTTTTTCGTCTTGCTGGATTTGGATTCTACTTTCTCGGTCGCTGGTTCCAGTTCTGACATAACGTCTTCTATATGAGAAACATCCTCACGATCATCATTTGGTGATTTACTTATAGAAACAATGTCATTTGGATCTCCGCCTACTTCCTTGGCTCTCTCTGTTTTAAATGCCAGAGCTTGTTCTAAAGCAGCTGGTAATTTAACAGAGTCACTGTTTTCATCTCCAACACCATTATCAACATTCTGACTTGACAACTCTGATGGAGGAGCCACCTTCAAGCTCAAAAGACTCGGAAGAATTTTTGCATCCATGCTGAACAACTGAAATAAAAGATCTGTTTCTTATATAACTCAACCACTTTTTGTACATAAAGTAAAATAAATGTTTTAAATTGTAAAAGGTAAAAAAATTCTGCAGCAAGCTGTACAGCAATAAAATGCAAATCTTGAGATTGTGAGCTAAGAATAACAGATAACATCCATCAGGAGGTAGTTTAACCAAAGTAAGCAGTTTGCTTACACATTGCATGCTCCAACATATACTAAACATGTTTCTATCATTATATTATACTCATTCCAATAAATATGTAGGAATAAATGAACTTTTAGATGTTCAAGCTGCAAACGTAACTCTGTCTCTTGGTTACCAATTATGAACGTTATCTATCATCCTAAGCTCATAATCTTAACTATAGCTATATACAATGGGGTCTCCGCAGTGCAATTTAAATCAAGATTTTTTAGTGTTTCCGAACTTTTCTTTTTCTTTAAACTTACATATTTCGAAGCTTCTTGATTTTATCGATTTTTACACATTATTGACTTGTTCCATAATTTTCTATCGATTAAAAAAAAATTAATTGAAATATGTCCGTTTTTACGTACTAGAATTTTCACACTTGTTAAATTTCAAGCATATTTATGCGAAGCGAACAAACCTTCTGTTTATTTCGTTTCTACAAATTGATTCACTACTGTAAATGTAACATGACAGAGACGAAATTGAAGTTCAAATATGTTTATACCTGCAAACGTGTCGAGCAGATGTCTAATACATGTGAGTATGTACGTCAATATGTACGTAGTCTTTATTATTTTTTCACTAAACACCTTTTTTATTTTTCACTAAACTCCTTAAAATCTTACTCCCCGGCACTTCTTTTACGTGCGAACCGTAATCGCTGGTAATCGCTCAACAATTATCACGAATTATCTTGATTCAAGATTGGAAATTCCTTCCATTTCATCGAAAAGCAATTAACACAATAAAGAACTAGTCAGACGCCTAGGGACATTAAAGTCGAAAGCATGCGTGCAGAATAATCAGCCAATCAAGTGCCACAAATATGAAAAAGATGTCACGTCGGAAGACTAGAGATGGCGCCAGGTGACACAAATTGTATTCACATCTATACGTCAAATGCCCCATGACGCAAAATCGACCGCAGGGTGGCGCAGAGAGCGTTCGATAAAAACGCTTTCAGCATTTCTATCCTTGTTTGACGCAGCCTTTTATCGTCCACGCACTGACAGTTGGCATTGTTGGTAGTGGGAGAATTGGTGTATATTGGTGATCGGAATTTGGGGGGGGGGGGCAGTCTGTAAACCGTCCAAACGTCGGGGATGATCAGGCGGAGCTGAAGAGGACACCAGTGAATACGTGTCAAGGAAATTCGATCCAAAGTACTATTATTCGGAGCGCAGACAGTAAGGTTAGTTCGTTTATTTGCGTCGCAAAAAATGCTAATCGATAAGCCCACGGATTAAATTTGACTTTTTTCTTTCTCTTTATTTTACCTCACTTTCTCGCTGTTATGTACTTCGATGATCGTCGTTGTCACTCCGGTTTTTTTTTTTTAAGCAAAATGGAAGAGGACACTGAGTGTTTTCGTTTTGTGTGTAGACACAAAATCAACCTGTTTGCGATAAATTCGAATCGACGATCGTAATTAATCAAGTGTATATACATGTCTGGTATACACATGTTTTACGTCGCCGTTCTAACGCACTTTGCACGGTGACTTGTCATCCTTGCCGAAATTGCCATAAATAGAGAGAGAAATTTTATCAAACGTCATAATATGTTTTAGCGAAGTAGTTTGCCATTAGCATCGACATTTTTGATCAATTACCTTGTTGAACAAAGTCCAAAAGACATGTCTGAATGGGCAATGTTTTTCAATTTCACATCGTTCATTACTTTAACTTTAATAGGCATAATTATTTAATTGATAATATACGTAATGGAAAATTGTATGGACTTACCTAAGATGATTGCTAACACAGCGTGACATCTTTGATTCAATGTAGAGTTATTTTTAGCATTTTAGTCTGCCAGATATTATTTCTTTAATGAAATACTGAACATTTTGGATGATAATGAAATTAAATTTGACAACAAAATTGGAAATTTGTCGATAATTACTTTTATTTTAATTTCTATGTAATATTAATTAGTATTATTTAAAAACTTTATATCAGTGAAAGATATATCATTATTCTTATAACGATACAAAATAATCAATAGAAATTTTTATATACGATTATTTAATTTCAATTTTGATTTTAATTTTTTACTAATAAATTTATGTATTAACGAAGGATATTACATAATCTTTTTAACGATACAAAAAATGATTAAGAAAATTGAATTTCTCGTTAATATTAAACTTTTGGTCACAAATAATCTTGGCGTTTATTAATTGCACGCGGATCGAAACATTAGCTGTTTGTTTGTCACAGCTCACGATGTGAGCTGTGACAACATTTACTTATGATAATCTCGCACGCGCTTTGCATACCTATTGCGATTCGTTTCCCCCGTGCTCCAATCACAATCAATCCAATTTTTTTTGCCGTCTGTTTCGTATCTTCGTTCGCAAATAGATTTTCAAGTACCGATAACAGATAAACAGACACGTTACATAATATCCTCGTATTTTCACAGCGTTACGTTGTACAGCGTTTTATAATGAATTGAGATCACTCCGAGAATTAGATTTGATTTTCGTCTAACTTGCGTCATTTATAAGCTGAAAGTATACCTGGAATTCTAATTGTGAGCTGCAAACACAGCGAGAATATCGTGCATTTTCTTAGAACATTTTTTATCGTAAAAATCCTTCATTAACAAATTACCAAAATTATTAAAATTAACTCCTTCAGACCTGAATTAAATTAAACCATTAAAATAAAAAAAAATTAATTTAAAAACATTTATTGGAATCATTAGAATGAAAAAAATTAGTTAAATAAATATTATATTAATTTTAGTTAAATAAAATTTTAATTTTTTTAATTCAACATATAAAAATTCTTTAATAAATATTCATCAAGTAATTCATATTAACGATTAATTTTTTTCGTAATTTAAATTATGTTTTCAATATATACATTATTATATTGTATATGTTTTATCTTTGATGATGTCGATAAAATTAAGTAATTTTAACAGAAAGTGCTTCCAAATTTGATATTATAATGTGCGCTGAAGGGGTTAATTTAATTAATTTTGAAAAAAGAAATAAATATCGTACTTGGAGCTATTCAGATTTAATCTATTGTTTACAAAGGTTTGCTCTCTATTTTTGATCCCTATTTACATCTTAAAATTTCAGATGCAAATCATTTCATGCTGATGTAGCGAAGACATCGTTAAGTTTATTCTGGATGTAATCTCACAAATCATTCCAGTAGATCCTAAAAATACTCCAACATCCCGGCCCACTTAAGCAAATTATTTACTAAAATCTTCGCGTCAAGCAAATTTCTTAAACATTTAGAGCTTCGAAAATATATTCATATTCCTGTTTGTGGAATCAAATAACCAGCATTCATCTCGTCGCGTGACTACGCATAAATACAGTCGTATATGTACATACATGCTGCCGTATGCTTCTCAATGCATGATTATTATCATGTTGTAACGCATGACAAGGACGCGTTCATGAGAGAGAGAGAGAGAGAGAGAGAGAGAGAGAGAGAGAGAGAGAAGATTTCTCTTAAATATCAAAGTTCTGAAAGCTTTCTCGTAAATTAGGAAAACTGTAATTTAATAAAATTTTATCTAAACAAACCGGGTCAAAGATATTACATGTTTCTTGACTATTATTTCTATTTAATATTTAGAAAGTTTTTTCAGAACAAAAAATTGACGTTGCTTGTTTCTGTAATGCGCAGTGCTTTATTAATGTAAATTTATTGTTTAGCGAATTGTTCTGCATAATTGAGTTTTAAATTTCAATAAAAATGAGGTATCACGAGCAAAGTGATAGATCTCTTCTTTTTTTATCTTTTTGTAGAGAACTTGTTATCTCTCTAAAAAAATAGTGGCGATAATCTTGCTCTGCTAAAATCTCTTGTGGGATTGTAATTGGCGTAGCAACCGATAAAAGATGATACTTCGAAGATATTTTTGGTCAACGGTATATAGATGCAAAAAATGATTATCTAATTTGCATGTACATACGTCATAAGCGGATGTTTACGCGCGATGCAGAGATGTTTGTAAGAATTTTTCATCTGGTTTTTTTGCATCACGCATTTTATAAACTTGCAATTAACAACAAGAAAGACAATACTTATTCAAAAACTTATGCAAAATTGCAACTGAAAAATAATTCTTATCAGCGTCATTAAAGAGTCGCTTCCTTCCTGTTCTAATTGATATTCATCGTTTAAGTCATTTTTACATTTACGTTTAAAATATTTCAACAAAAATAACGTTGAAAAGCTTGATGGAAAATATTGTTCTTTGCTTTTTAGCACAAATTATGTTAGTTTTTCACAACTTTAAACGTAAAATATAAAATATGATATATTTCAGAGGAAATGTTGTCGGGAAGCGTATAAAAATTATTTTCTTCGAATTTATTTATATGAATGTTAGAGTTTCCTATATTTGTTGTAAAGTACAAGTCGTACAGTTTGTACTTTGATCTTATTGACGTCAGTATTACCTAACTATAAGCACATGATAGTATTAAATTTAAATTCCTAATCTACTTGGAGAGATGCGGAATTCTTATATTCCTTCATTATTAGAATATAATCTATTGTTTTTGTCCTTCAAATTCTATTTTCTTTATTGATATTTGTTTTTTAAATTTCTTTTGTTTTATTGTGATCATAAATTGTGTCAAGATATTATCGAGTTATCATAAATTGTATCAGAAATTTACAAATGATATGATTGGTTTCGGGCGATCATTTCATAAGAAAATTAATTATAAGGAATTATAATTTAAAAAGATAGATGAGATTTTTATTCTAATATCTTTAATTCTTCTAATTTTTAAGCTTTTTGAGTGAATCGATTTAAACGTTCAAATCTTAAGATTCGAAAATTGTTTTTTTTTCCATTTAATTTCGTATTACTTAACCTTCATAAGGCAAATATACCATATTTACAGTGTCATTTTGTATCGGTGTTAACAGTACGAAAAGGAAAACGGCGATTTCTGTATGAGAGACTATCGGTAACGGAACAATACGGTGTGCCAGAGATGAGTGGGCATGCAACCCGTTCCGGAGAGGGTGGTCAAGCGGTTCTTGAACGTATTCAGGTGTCCGTGCTGCCTATCGCTGGAAAACACACCTCGTCGGCATTACCTACCACATCCGCCCCATTGATGGAGAGGCAAGATGTGGATATTACAGTAAGAAAATACATTCAACTCTATATTCGTTAAAATATAAAAAAAAGTAATACTAAAGTGTATACATTTTTAAATTGTCCGATATAATTAATACTAAAACTTGTATGAAAGTTGTATATTAAAACTTGTATTAAACTTATATACATTTTAATATAATTTAAGATAACATTATACTAGTTGTAACATAGTTATAATTAATAATCATACTTGTTATTAATTTTTTACCGACAAAAAATAATTTCCTGTATATATATTATAGAGCAAACAGAAAAAATGTACTGGAAAGGAGATTTCCAATACTCAAAGAGTCTGGACGAGTCTGGTATCCGGTGCGATAGCAGGAGCTTTGGCAAAGACTACAATAGCACCGTTAGATCGTACAAAAATCAATTTTCAAATTTCGAAGCAGCCCTATTCGGCCAGAGCA